CCTTCTCTGTGGAAGTACCACCCTTCAGACTGTTTAACCAAAGCAGCAGGTCTCAGCTTATCCAAAAGAAGAAGACCCTAATCAGACACGACCCTGGATGCCAGGGATATCATTCGAACCGATACTGTAACCGACAGCCGCTCTGTAGCAACTGTAGCAGGCCCTCGGGATCCCACGAGACTGGGCCCTGCATAGCTAGACCGAAGTGCGCCAACTGCTCCGGTCCCTTCCAAGCTAACCATAAGGACTTTCCAGCAAGGCCCCTAGTGGTTAATGGCTCCCCTACCCTCCCAGACCGGAAGGAACTCTCCCGGATCCGTAAGGCTGGTCAGAAGGCCTATGAGGCCCTCTATCAGAGCAGCCAGGCTGGCACCCAAGCCAGCAACACCCAGCAACCTAGCAACAGCCTAACGAGCCATCAGCCCGGCTCAAAGCGCCCACGCGCCCCTACCCCTATCCAGGACTCAATTGTTGTAGCGGACGTTAGTGATGCGGCTAGCTGTAGCAGCATGGATGAAGATGAGAATGGGGCTGAAGCAGAAGGGCTGCAAGCCCCTGACGACCCAGCCCTACCCCCCCTACCCAGCCAACCTACCCTAGCTACCTCAAGCAGCAGGGCTCAGCGGGTGGCGCAGAAGCCTGATTACAACGTTATTAATGCCTACACCCACCTCGACCTCGACTCAGAGCAGTAGGCTCAGGCCAGCCTCCCCACGGGTACTACGAGTCGCCCAGTGTAACGTGGGGAAGAGAAGCCCAGCTCATACAGCTCTCCTAGAGCTCTGCTGGGCGGATCAGATCGATATAGTACTGATCCAGGAGCCCTGGATAGGCTATAGAGATAAGATGCAAATCAACACACACCCAGGCTATAACTCTTATATCCCAGTTGACTTCTGGAACAACAGAGATACAAGACCTAGGGTTATGACCTATATACGCAAGAGTCTAAGACTACAAATACAGCAACAAAGGCCTACCCAAACGAGAGATATCTTATGGGTTAAGGCTGGCAACTTCACTGTTATCAACGTATATAGGCCGCCAGGTGAGCCGACAAACCACACGACTACTGCTCTCCTAGGATACTATCCGCCAGAAAGAGCCCTTATAGCAGGGGACTTTAACGCCCGCCACCCTACCTGGGAACCAGGCTCCCCTAGCCGGAATCGGGGGGACGATATTGCAGAGTGGGCTGAAGGCTACGATCTTTCGTTTATTGGGGAGGTTGGGGTCCCTACCCATACTCATAGGCATACCCTCGACCTAACATTCTCAAATATCCCCTTTGCTGAGGCTTATATTAGCCCACACCTGCACCCAGGGGCTGACCACCAAGCTATCACAACAACTATCCCTATAGGCAAGGCCCAGGAACAGAAACGCCAGACTGGACACCTCTCAGTCCCAGAGTCAGCCCTACCCCGACTTATCGACCTAGTAAGAGCTGGATCCTCAGCCTTACCTACCCTAGGGGAAGTACCTAGTCCAGCAGAGCTGGACACTCTAGCTACCCAACTAGTCAGCCTCTTCTATACAGCTATTCAAGCTGTAGGTAAGAGACGGACAAATCAGGGTAGGGGAGCCCCCTGGTGGACAGAAGAGTGTGCAGAAGCCCACCGAGCTGCTATCGAGGCTAGGCGCCAGCAGGCCCAAGAACCTGGGCTAGTTATACCTCCCCCCATCCTAGAGGAGCAAAAGATCTTCTTAACAACTGTTAGAAGGGCAAAACGCGCTTACTGGACTACTAAGATCGAAGGGGCTAAGACAGACCAAGACCTATATAAGATAGTAGGCTGGCGGAAGGCTGGCTTAGCTGTTAAAGGCCCGCCTCTTATAGTGGAAGGTCAGACAATCGACAACAGCTACGATAAAGCCCAGGCCCTACGAAAGGCCTTACTAGAGAGATTTAACGCTACAGACGACTTACCTGGGGACCCTTTCGCTATCCCAGTAGTTGCACGGCGTCTAATGCCCTGGCAGGATGTGGTCAGCATGGAAGAAGTACGCCAGGCTACTCTAACAAAGACTACAACCCCTGGGATTGACGGGATTACTACAAATTTACTACAGCAGACCTGGGAATCAGTAGCTAGGCCTATACAGCAGCTCTTCCAGGCCTGTATTCAAGTAGGCCACTTCCCCAGACCGTTCCGCAAAGCAGAAGTTGTCATGACCCAGAAGCCAGGGAAAACAGACTTCTCGAAGACTGGGTCTTGGCGACCGATATCCCTTTTATCCTGCTTGGGTAAAGGCCTAGAGCGGCTAATAGCAAAAAGGATGACCTACTTTACTATCCTAGAAGGGGTTGCTAGCCCGCAGCAGGTTGGAGCACTACCAGGGAGGGCTGCAGTCGACCTAACAGCCTGTCTGACCCACGAGATCGAGAGGGCTCTAGACTTGGGGCTCACTGCAACTCTTGTAACAATGGACGTTAAAGGGGCTTTTGACTCTGTCCTAAGAAACCGACTTGTTATCAGGCTACGACAGCAGGGCTGGCCTAAGCATCTGATTAGGCTGATCTTCACCTTTACCTCTAGCCGAGCAGCCCGGGTCAGGCTAGAGAATACAACTACAGAGGATTTCCCTCTATCCTGTGGGCTACCACAAGGCTCCCCACTATCTCCTATTATCTTTCTATTATATATAGCTGATATCCTAGCCGACGATCAGAAGCTACGGTTCGGCTATGCGGATGATATAGGTTTAGTAGCTACTAGCCCATCGCTAAAAGAAAATGCTATAGCTCTAGGCCAAGAGATCACTCATATACTTAACTGGGGCACTGATAACAAGGTTGCTTTTGACCCAGCTAAGTGTGAGGCAGTCCACTTCAGCAGGAAACATAAACAGACAAAAGACCTACCAGATATACAAGCGAGGGGCCTAACTATCAAGGCCTCAGCTAGGCCTGTACGATGGCTAGGAGTCTGGTTTGACAAGAGACTCACCTTCCGTCACCATGTCGAAACTAAGGTGGCGGCAGCAAGGAAGGTAGCCCAGTTCCTTCGGCACCTAACAAATACTAAAGGGGGGCTCCCAGCAGCCGCAGTACGAAAAGCGGTTATTGCCTGTGTCCTTCCAACAGCCCTATATGGAGTTGAGACCTGGTATGCGGGCATAACCAAACCAGCCCTAAACAGCGGCACAGATACTGGCAGTAGTACTGCTTTACAGATAGCTACAGTTGGTACAGGACAGAAGGGCCTGGCCCGTAGAGTTAGCAAAGTTATTACAGCAGCAGCAAGGGCTATCCTGCCTGTCTGGAGAACCACACCGACCAGCACCCTCATCCGAGACGCTGGCCTTCCTACAGCAGAGGTAGCCCTCGAAGCAGCGCGACTACGCTTCGCTATACGCCTGCGGAAGGTTGACCAACAGCATCCCTTGGTCCCAAGGCTGCTACAGCCAGGGTGGCAACAGACCAGGCTCCAAAGAACAGCTGGCCTGTTACCTAAGTGTCCAAAGCCAGCACTCCTACAGTGTCAAGTTGGGATGTTGACGCAGGGTGGAAGCTCTCAGAGGCCAACTGCAGTTAGTGGTAGAATGATGAATTACTGAAGTCTGCTCCTCCCTCGACGTGTACTCCCTGCGCTGTATATATATCTGAGCTGTTCCTTTGTTGCTTGGACTCCTTACTACCTCTTACTAGCCCCTATCCGGGAGGGCTCTGACATACAGCCGCAATACCTCCCAGGGTCTTATGACCTTATAGTTACACAGACGAAGGATGTAGCAGCTAGGATCTTCCAGGCCTGGCTCAAGACTGTGCCAGGTCAGCATACAGTCGTATACTCAGACAGTTCCAAAGCTCCTGACGGAGCTACAGGGTACGGCTTTGTTATCTACCGCAACAATAAACGTATAGCCCAGGGCTGCGACCGTCTCGGCTTAGCAGAAGTGTTTGATGGTGAGGCGGAGGGGGCGAGGGCTGGGCTCCGACGGGCCCTTCAGACCTCCCAAGGCCAGCCTATACACATCTGCATCGACAATACCAGCGTTATTCAGGGGATTCGCGGTAAGGTCCCAGACTCCTCACAAGCGGCCTTCCTTGAGATCCAGGAGGTAGCTAGGATACACGATATACAAACCCATTGGTCTCCTGGGCACCAAGGTATTAAAGGAAACGAAGAAGCAGACAGCCTAGCTAAGGAGGGAACAACTCTACCAGTCCTTAGGGGCCAACTAGCTACTCTATCAGGTATCAAGTGGCTTGCTAAAGAGCGGCCAAGACGCCAATATAGACGATGGTGGAAACAAGAGGCAACTCCCCGCTATACCCAACTAGGGCTCAAGGCTACCCTTGCTTGCCCTCCTGAACTTGGCCTCCCTAGGGATACCCTTCATCACCTCCTCGCGGCACGGTCAGGCCACGGGGACTTTAAACAATATCACCAACGCTTTAACCACACAGAAGCACTACTCACCTGCTCCTGTGGATGGGTTAAGGAGGCAGACCATCTAGTCTACTGCCGAAAGACCCTACTGAGGAGGCAACAGTGGCCCACCCTCTACCCCTACAGCCGCCAGGAGCCCGTAGGACCTATAGGGTCCCTCGATCGCTACTTCAAAGGGCTAATCACTGACTCTGAAGGCTTCCAGGCCTTCCTTTGCGTGACAGACTTCTTCCAGAAGATCTGCCCGCGGTACCAGGAGATAGGTCATAACCTATCCTCCAAACGACAAACTACCTCTATTAAGAAACCAGATGGTTATAACGGAACTAGGGCACCAGTGGGAACTAGGGATGGATAGAACACATAGTAGCTCACGAGCAAGATTTGGAGGACGTCAGGATACGGCGTGTACTATATAGTATATAGCTAGAGCCTGCGACCCTTCACGCCACATACCCTCCGGGAGGTCTGCCGCAAGGGCGGCTGCGCCCTTGCCGCCATGGCGTTAAATAGAACAACAACAACAACAAGGCCGCGCATGAACTGCTTTCGGAGGCTCTGCCATCTTACATGGTCCCGGCGCAGTTCATCCCGGTGTCTCAAATGCCAATAAACGCATCGTGGACCGACGTGCGGCGCCTGCAAGAGTTGGCAGCTGATCTCCCTCTAGAGGTGTTGACTCTTCTGGGTCCTTCCCCTTCACTCCCGTCAATCAACCAAGAGTCCCTAACTGAAACGGAACTCAAACTACAAGAATTTTGGGCTACCGTCCTCGCCCGTGAGCCTAGCCAGCTAGGTCTCGATGACAGTTTCTTCCACATTGATGGCAGTTCTCTCGAAGCCATTCGCCTCGTCGGTCTCGCTCACGCCCAAGGTCTGGATCTGACGGTTCAGCAGATTTTGCAGAGTCCCAAGTTGAGAGACCAAGCGGTTTCGCTCAGGCCTCCTGCCGAGTTTGCGTCAGAAGGCGGACCCATTCCCCCACTGTCACTGCTCAACCCAGAGACGGATCGCCGCACAGCGCTTCAGTATGCTGCCAAGCTTACCGATGTCGAGCCGAGCCAGATCGAAGATATCCTCCCGTGCACACCTTTGCAAGAGGGCCTACTGACCATGACTGCTCAGCGTGAGGGAGATTACGTTGCGCGCAGCGTGTACCGCCTTCGCGCTTCGACTGATCTAGATCGCTTCAGGAGAGCGTACGAGGAGGTGGTGACCAAGGCACCGACTCTGCGCACCCGAGTGGTGAGTCTCCTCGATGATAGACTGGTCCAGGTTGTTGTCAACGAATCTTTCCAATGGGGTCCCGTCCTGGACATGGACTCTACCTCTTCCTTCGAGAGTCAGACTCTGGGCCAGGCCCTCGGATCAGCATTGTCCTTCTTTGCTCTGGCCGAAAGCACCCAGGAGGCAGCGACGTACTTCGTCTGGACGATTCATCACGCTCTCTATGACGGCTGGTCGGCGCCCCTCATCTTGGACGCCATCGAGCAGGTCTACAACGGCGGCCAGTCACCAGTCTTTGTCCTTTTCCGGGGCTTCTTAAAACACGTGCTCCAGCAGGATAGCACAGCCGCTGAGGACTTCTGGCGAGTTCAATTTGATGGCGGCGACAGCGCCGTTTCCTTCCCCGCGCTCCCCGACCCCTCCAAGGTGCCCCTTGCCGATACCGTTATGGACCGTCTTGTGAACCTTGACTGGCTCCGCGGCAACACCACACCCGCAACAGCTGTCCGCACAGCCTGGGCTATTCTGCAATCCCAGATCTCTGGATCCAAGGATATCGTCTTTGGTGCAACCTTGACGGGCCGACAAGCCGATGTCGCTGGCGTGGAGCGCATGACGGCGCCAACCATTGCCCCGCTTCCCGTACGAGTGATGCTACAAGACGATGAGAATGTGGAGGATATGCTGCACTTGATCCAGAAGCAGATGGTGGACATGCTTCCTTTTGAGCAGTTTGGTGTTCAGAACATTAAGCGCGTGTCCGCCGCTGCTCGCGATGCTTGCCAAGCGCAAACGCTTCTGCTGATCCAACCTGCCGGTCAAAACTTGTCACTGAGGCAGAACGGCCTCATGTCTCACGTCTCTGGTTTCGTTCACGAGACCAAGTCCTATGCCCTCACGCTCTACTGCTACCTCGAGGCCGATGGCGTGCACATCTATGCGGTGTTTGACTCATCGGTGATCAAGGCGGAGCGGGTGTCCAGGATACTTGGACAGTTTGAGCACATCTTGAAGCAATTATGCGACGCAGAGAAGCTTGCTTTGAAAGTCTATGATCTTGAGGTAGCTTCCCCACAAGATATGAAAGACATGTGGCGCTAGAACGCTCAAGTCCCCCCGACAATGGACCGCTGTGTGCACGATATGATAATCGACCGCGTCCATCAACAGCCCGAGGTGGAAGCCATCCATGCATGGGACGGCGACCTGACATACGCACAGCTAGATGCCCTTTCGTCGACTTTGGCTCGCCACCTTATCAAGCTCGGGGTCAGCCAGGACATGATTGTGCCCCTCTGCTTCGAGAAGTCCATGTGGACTCCCGTGGCTGTGATGGGCGTCATGATTGCCTCGGTCCTGCGCAGGAACCAGCCATCTAGACTTTGTACGTCCGATGAACTGAAGGTGGTAGTCTTGGATCAAGATGCTGCATACTCTCGAGGCTGGTGGGTGCGTCTGTATCCCCCTGGACGAGGACCGGAGAAACGACTGGCTGCCTCGATCAACCACATGGGGGCCAACATGCTCAATCTCAACGCCACGACCCATCGTCTTCTAAACCCGGCGACACTCCCGGCCGTCAACAATCTAATCTCCTTGGGCGAGCCAATTCGCAAGGAAGACGTCGAGATCTGGACACCGGGAGTCATCAAGCAAGCCTACGGCCCCGCCGAGTGCACACCCATCTCGACCGCCCTACGCGGGGAGGCCGGCGACCAGCCAAATGTCGGCATCGGCAGCGGGCTGGACTCTCTCAGATGGGTCGTGGACCCGGATACCGGTCGACTAATGCCGCCAGGAATCATGGGAGAACTCTGGCTTGAGGGCCTCATTGTCGGCGCCGGGTACCTGAACGAAAAGGAAAAGACGGCGGCCGCTTTCGTCCATGATCCGGCATGGCTACTGAGGGGAGGAGGCGGCGTTCCAGGCCGTCAGGGCCGTCTTTACAGAACTGGCGACCTCGTACGACAGCTCGATGACGGACGTCTAGTGTTTGTCGGACGCAAAGACACCCAGGTCAAGATCCGCGGCCAGAGAGTCGAGCTGGAAGACATTGAGCACCACCTCCACCGCGTCATGGTCTGCCGGCATGAGAACGCCACCCTGGTTGCCGAGGTCATCAAGCCGGGAGGCCAGGAGCCCATTCTTGTGGCCTACGTCGCAGCGCGCCATCAAGGCGCCGCCCGCGTTCGAGGGTTTCACGGCGGCGAACCTGTACGTTGCGGCCTGCGTGCAAGCGCTCGCGCAGCTCCGCGATACAGACGACGTGGTAACGACGATGACGGTGTCGGGTCGCTCCACGCTCCCGCCCGCGCTGGCCAACGTCGTCGGCCCTACCGTCAACATGGTGCCCCTGCGCGTGCGGCTTGACTCCGGCAAGACATTCAAGGGCACGCCCGAGGCGACGTGGCGACCCGAGGAGCGCCGGTCAACGTACATTGTGCATTTTCAGAACTCGGAGCCGTTCACAGTAAATATGATGGGAGATGGCGAGTGCTGCCAGGAGCTTGGCTGGTTCGGGCCGGACAAGGTGTGGGAGCACTCGGAGGAGGTATGGCTCATCGCGCGGCCGGATCCGGAGACTGAGACGTGGAACCTGTGGTACAGCGCCAACACGGTCAAATTTAGCCTAGAAAGGCTGGAGGAACTCATCCGGGAGCTAGAGGCTGTCGTCGAGAAGATTGTAGAGGACGCGGCGAAATGAGTGGATGGTTCTTGTGGCTGAAGACTTGGTAGTTTTTGTAAAGAGTGTGGCTATTATCTCCATCAGAATTTCGGGCATACTATGAATCTTTCTTTGAATTTTTCAATGAAACTGTTGATTATTTGTCGTGTCACATTCCCCCATTTCCAATATTTCATACAAAGAGCTAAAGCCGTTCTTTATTAATTACTTTTCAGAAAAAGAAGGACCGAAGGATAGTTGGTAAAGTTGATAGCATAAGGCAAGCAAATGATGCAACTCTATTCTGGATGCCATGTTCTTCAACCATCTTAAGCTGGCTTCCAGTTTCCTCATGCCAACACATCACACTGTCCAATGTTCTTCAGTTTGCGAATTTCTAGAAGGTCTCTTTCAGAGAATCTCTCCGATCTACAGGTCATGCTCTCATGAACATTTTCAGGTGAACCAAACTTTAATTATTACTCTTTGTTCATGTCTACTCTGTGAGCTCGTGAAGACATCGTCTCAAGTCTCGTATCGACCAGCGCCATCACCTTCATTCGGCAGCAACCCATTCAAGATTCAATGTAGGCTCCAATTACTGCTCCGCAAACTTCAGCATGAACCCCGCAATATAACCAAGAAATTCCTCTGCGAGAGTCTCATCCAGGCGGCCGTCGTTGAAGCAGATGGAGAGGCCAGTGACGCCCTTCCAACCGTCCATTCTGATGAGCCTATGCAAGGGATATTGGTCAGCAGGTCGCCAGCAACAAGCGCAACCCAGAGAGGCGAGAGATAGTCAAGGTTCATGAGCAATACATGTACTTACACGTCGGAGAGATAGGTGTCAAGGTGGAACAAGCAGCTTTCCACGACCAGCAGCTTCTCGCCGACGGCGTCGAGCACCTCTCCAGGGACATACTTGTCCACGATGCCGTCGCTTGCAAAGACCTATCATGGAAGCCTGGTGTCAGTATGCCGAGGCCGGTCACAGCGAAGATAATCCATTGGAAGGCAAGATACTAACTGGAAAGCTAGTGGGCGGAATCGATGGCGGTGCACTGGTCAAAAGACGTATCAGCCGATATACCTAGCTACTGACCGAACATTGACGTGAAAGGGGGGTAACTCACGAAACCAGCACGCTCGCGAGGAAGTTGCCCTTGGCCTGGTCGACGGCGAGCTGGAACTCATTCCGCAGCCAATACTCGTAGCCCTCCTTGACGTGCGATGCCAGCGCCCCGAGCGTAGCCCGGACGGCCTCGGCATTGCTCTCATCTACGACCCACTCGCGCAGCGGTGCGAACTCCACCGAGGCGCCGGCCTGGCACGAGCCATAGCGCCCCGCCGCGTCGCCTCGGAGGTAGCGCCTGCCATTGACGGGCAGTGGGGAGGCGAGCGCGACGGAATCCGGGGCGTCGGCCGGCAGAGGCCGGGCGCGGAGGAGGGCGAGGACCATGGCGGCGTGGCCGAGGTGAGTCACGGTGAAACTCGGGCCAAGACGCGTCTTGATGGCTGCCTTGATGGCAGCGCTCTGCTCGGCGGCGAATGTGCGCCATATCGTGCGAGGGGCGCCAGTACCGGCAGCAACAGGGAGGCCCCAGCTAGACTTTGAGGGATTAGTTGTAGTAATGCAGCGGAGGGAGGTGAATGTTCGGATGTTGTGTGAAGGAAAGGAACTTGAAGGAAGAGACTCACTCCGCTTTCGAGTAGGGCTGCAATGAACTTGTCCCGGGTCTTCTCGTAGTCCTCGCCAAGAGCGCCGACATCGACCTTACAGGCATCGAGAACGGGCACGTTCAGATTAGCAACCTCGCTACCCCAAGCGTACTGCGACGATGCCGGCTCGGCCTCACCAGCGCCCAGCTGTTCCCCGAGACGACGCAGCAGGTCCCCCACGAAGACGCGCGCGCTAATGCTATCCCAGTGGATGTGATTGAAGACGCCGAGCATGTCCACGCGGATGCCAGCTTCCAGCAGCGCTTCCGCGTCCTGCACGTCAGCCACAACGACGAGCGTCACGGGCGGGAGGGACTTGGCGGGGTCGATCTGGCGCTGCTTGCCGATCTCGGCCGCGACCTGCAGGCCGGTCTGGGATGTGGACCTTGCGGTAACGGCGGCCCGGGCCCATTGCAGGGCCTCGGCATCGGACGTCGGAGGAGTGTAGGTGATGTGCGGGGGCCCGTACTCGGAGGCCCAGGCAGTGGTGCAGGCGACCTCGGGGTGGTGGAATCGGACGTGGAGCAGCGCGTCGGCGAGATGGCGCGCGAGGCCGGCCAGGGAGAAGCCGACAGCTTCAATACGGAGGGTGGTGCTAAGGTAATTATCATATTGCCCGCGGGAGTTGGGGCCGCGCAAGCCAACCCACGCTTCGGTGCCGAGCCCGAGGCGCCGTACGGCACGGGGGTCATCCGGCGACGGGTGCCAGCGGAAGGTAGCAGGATCAAGCCGAGGGATAGGGGGAAGGGACATTATCAGGAGACAAAGGTGATGTCTTGGGAGAAGATGTGTAAGATAAGGTAGATAAAAGAAGAAAAATCCCGTAGTCAAAAAGTGATGTACGAAATCTTGCTCAGTTGAATGTCAAGTGAGGTGAATCGAATGGATGGATAAGTTCACTTATTTGACTGCGGTCTGCCAAAGTCTGTACCAGAAGCCAGAGGCCAGAAGCTGTCGGTGACCTAACACTTGCTATGTATTCTCTTTAATGTCATGAAATACCAAACTATGAGGGCTTTCAATCGCGTCAAAGTTGGCATGTCGAGATCAAGTCTGATTGTACGACACAACACACACCCCCCTCCCTATCCCCAATCAAGAATGTCCACTTCGCCTCCACCGCACTAGTCGGACCAGGATAAGGTACACTGCATGACTGCATCAGAACGGGTCCCGATAGTACACGGTGCTGTCTACTGTGAGGACATTCATGGGAAAACGCCCCTCGAGGGGTTTCCTTAGACGGATCCTAGGACTGCAGGAGTCCCTAGCTGCTGTCAAGTTCGGACGAGCGCGATAGCTTTACGGACCATGTCACTCGTCACTTGCATGTAGCTTGTTGCCTCCATAGATCGATCTCGACCACTGTCACCATCGCCGGCGACTCCAAGTCGCCTGCCACGAAGATTGGCAAAGGCAGCAACCGTCACGAACGCCGCAAAGATACAGCCGATGCCTCATCATCAAGGATCTAGGGACGTCCTCCTTATTCACCTCGATATCTGCGATGCCATGTTTCTCACATAAATCGTCTCGTCGTCTCTCCTCTCCCCAGGATCAATCTATACACATGGACGCGGCTCACTTACACACACACTCCTCATCTTATCCCATCCCTCTACAACCCGTATACACTTCATCATGCTGCTCCCTCGACCCTCTTTTGACTCGGAGCTCGCGCCTATCCAAGCTGCCTTTGAGCCGTTCGGCCCCATCACCCCCGAGTTCGTCATCACGCATCACGCCCGCACCGACCGTGCCTTAGAAGCCCCACACATTGCCGCCTCGGAAACAATACGCGACCGGCCTCTCACGCACTCCGAGCATACGGCTCCTGGCCTTGGCCCCGACGACCCTCCCATCGCGCTCTCCATCTTCACGCCCAACAATACCACAGTGACTGGTAACCATCAGCGGCCTTGCATCTTGTATGCGCACGGCGGTGGCCTCATTTTCCTACACCGCCTCGTCGGTCTCTCGCAGCCGCTGGACTGGGCCGTGGCCACTGGCGCCGTGCTTGTAAGCATCGAATACCGCCGCGCGCCGGAGGACCCGCAGCCGGCGGCGTCGGACGACTGTTTCGCGGCGCTGAAGTGGGTGCAGGCGTCAGCAGACGCGCTGAGCATCAACGCTGCGCGCATCCTGGTGGCCGGTCAATCGGCAGGCAGTGGGCTGGCTGCCGGGCTGGCGCTGCGGGCGCGCGACGCGGGGCTTGAACCTCCGGTGCACGCGCAGATGCTGCCGTGCTCAATGCTCGACGACAGATGCTAGTCGTTCAGCTGCGTGCAGTTCGACGGCGGCGTAGAGCCGTTAGGGTTAGGGTTAAGCGTGGGGCATCGCACTGTGCGGGCCCGCCGGGGCCGGGGCGGGCGTGGTGAGCTCCTACTGGGCACCGGCGTGGGCCGAGACACTGGTGGGGCTACCGCCCGCGTACATCGAGGCAGGCTCCGCCGAGTTCTGCCGTGACGAGGCTGTGGAGTACGCGTCGCGGCTATGGGCGGCCGGGGTCTCGGCGGATTTGCACGTGTGGGCGGGCGGCTTCCACGGGTTCGACGAGATGGCACCGGACTCATGGCTGGGGCGTCGGGCCATCGCGGCCAAGCTGGAGTGGGTGCGGCGGGTGCTGATGGAGTGATGGTACCTTATTGAGGGTGAGCGGGTATACGTATGGCGTCAACAGGCGTACCATGTAGTGAGCTGTCAAACTCATAGCCGGCACGGGATTGAGAAAAAGAATGTCTTCATGTTCGGATACGAAGGGGCAAAGAAAAGGTAGAAATTCTGAGACATGGGCCGTTTGTCCCAGTAGAGGCAAAGGGGGCCGTTACACACATCCTACACACATCTTACACGTCTCCAACCAATTCGTCTTGCATTGCACATCGGGCTAACACTTCTACGCCGAGTCTATAATTTTGGGGATCTTGAAAGTTCAATGGGCCAGAGATGTTTGGCGTTTGCGTTGTAGATCTTGTCTAAAACACCACTCTTTGAACATAACATTAGTGACAGACCACAAAATAAATGTACCGAGGGAAAATTTCTCGGTGGATAATGAGCGCAAATACTCGCCCAGTCAGGCCATTCTCGATGTATTTATCAGTGAGTTCAATGAATGTGGCGCCTTTGGAAACAAAGACTTTGTCGAATCAATACTTCATGTCAGCAAAGGATCACCATCTGCCCCAAAAACCTTTTCCCGGTGATCAAAGTTGAGATCGAATCATTCAACACCCTTGCCATACTAACTTTCGGCTTTATCCGGGATTCGGCCTCGTTGGGTTGAAGAACCTCATCTGGCAACATGACGCAAGATGTTTGCTCGGAAAGTAGCAGCCGGTCTCAGAAGTACGTCTGGTGTTATAACGAACCTAGGTGTCAAGTTGGGGTTGTTGACGCAGGGTGGAAGCTCTCAGAGGCCAACTGCAGTTAGGGGTAGAATGATGAATTACTGAAATCTGCTCCTCCCTCGACGTGTACTCCCTGCGCTGTATATATATATCTGAGCTACTCCTTTGTTGCTTGGACTCCTTACTACCTCTAACTAGCCCCTGTCCGGGAGGGCTCTGACACTAGGTTTGGTCTCAAGCATCACTCGTACTTAACGAGACTCATACGCCCGCAGCCACACATGGTCTTTGGATCTCGTCACATGATGTAGGCATGCAAATCGGAAAATGAGTCAACAATAGGAAGAGGGTTTTGCTGAAATCAAGTCTTGGTACTATTTACTTTTATATACAAATGGCAGGTGTCCACACTTAGAAGTATACACATAAAAGAGCATATCCACATATTTAGAAGCTGTGGTGAGCACGACGGAAACGCTGAAGGCGTTCGAGGCGCTTGACAGAACGCTTGCAACCAGTCGAACCAGAGCTGGAACCAGAGCCAGAGCTAGACTCAGAGCCAGAGTTGGTTGCGCTTCCAGCTCCTCCAAGGATCTGGGCAGCAGCATGCTCGGCAGCGACCATGACAATGGCCTGGGTGTTGCCGGTAGGCAAGTCAGGGTGAATGGAGGCATCGACGACATACAGGTTGTCAGTGCCCCAGACCTTGGTCTTTGTATCAACAACACTGTTTCCGTCGTTGGTGGAACCCATGACAGCGCTGCCGACAAAGTGGCTACCGGTGATGTACTCGGAAATGAGGCTCTCGGCGGTGACGTTGCCTGACAGAGTCAGGGTGCTGTTGGACTTGGAAGCGTACTGGATAAGCTGGTTCATGAAGCTGGTGATAGCCTCCTTGTCCTCAGTGGTAGTAAGGTAGGGTTCGGTGGTGAGCTTGGTAGAGCCGTCGGCAGAGATGCCGAGAGCGCCAACGGAGGTGAGACCGTGGGTAAGGTAGACCTTGACGCGGATGGTGTCGTTGGCGGGGGAGTTGACAGTGCCCTGGACGTACCTCTTGCCGCCATCAGAGCCCTCGACACTAGTCCAGAAGTTCAGGCGCTGTCCAGCCTGGCTGAGAAGTCCAGATTCCTGCGCGAACTCGTCGATGTCGGTCTGGCTAGGGGCGGTGAAGGCGGTGCTGGCCAGAGAGTTGAGAGTGGACTTCGTCTTGAAGTTGACGGTGAAGATGGGGTGGTCCTTGAGGTTCTGGCCAACGGGCAGGTCGATCCATTGGGCCTCGGCAGGGAGAGTGACCTGGGCAGTTCCGTTCTGAACAGTCTGGATCTGCTCCTTGGGGCCGATACCGCTGTTGAACAGGATACGAGGGGAAGAGAGAGCACCAGCAGCGAGGATGGCGGCGCCGCCGGACTTCAGGTTGATGATCTGGCGAACGTTGGTAGCGGTCTCAATCTCGACACCAGAGATGGTGGTACCGTTGCGGATGGCACGGATGACCTTGGCGTTAAGCTGCAACTTGAAGTTGGGCAAAGCCTGGGCGAGGGGCAGGTAGTCACGGACGGGACCGCCGCGCATACCGTTCTCGATCAACCAAGGAGGGTGGGTGAAGACTGCCTCCTTCTTGTCAGGCTCGGCGAGAGCGTCGACCTCGCTAAAGCCGTTGCCGGCCAGCCACTGGGACATGACATCGTAGGCGCCCTGGTCATAACGCTTTCCGTCCTTGCTGGCGAGAATAGTTCCCGGAGTTCGCTCGTAGAGCTTGTTGGCAGACTCTTCGACGCTGCTCCACTTCCAGCCCGCGGGCCACTTGTCGTCGAAGTCATGCGCGGGAGGCTTAACCCACATCATGGCGTTGACCATGGTAGAGCCGCCGAGAATGCAGCCAGCCTGGGAAGCCGTGTCCGTACAGTACTCGTTGGTCTCCTTGGCGGTCGAGAGGTAGTAACCCATAGCAGGGACGTCGTACTGGGTGACAGTGCTGTTCCAGTCAACAGTAGCCTTGCCACCGCTTGACGCCAAAGAAGCTCCTCCGCGCTCAAGGAGAAGGACGCTCTTGCCAGACTCGGCCAGACGCTCGGCAACAATAAGACCGGCAGCACCACCACCGGCGACGATGTAATCGTAGGTCGTGTTGGAGATCGTGGTGGTAATGTTGGCGGGGACGGACGGGGAGGTTCCGTTGCCAGTGCCGGGAGTGGTGACAGCATCGGAAGCCTTCGCGGCCCAAGTGGCGTAATCGGCGGACTTGGCATCGGCGAGGTTTGCGCCGAAGAGACCGAATCCGGCCCCGTGGTAGTTGAGAGCGACAGAAGCGCTGGTGGTGTCGGAGAGGGCAGTGGTCGAGTAAGCCCAGCCAAAGGTGGTGGTATCAGATGTGCCGGTGAAGGTGGTTGTGTCACCGGTAATGCAGCCCTCGCAGACAAAGGTGTAAGTGAAGGCAGTGGCGTTGATGGAGGTGCCAGACTCAATAGGCTTGAGAGTGATGCCGGAGTCGGTCACAACGTCAGGGTTCGAGTATCCTGACGCCTTGCGGATGGAAGTTTGGATAGATTCTCCGTTGGGCCATGCAACAACAAGAAGCTTGTTGGTCATGGGACCACCCAGGGAGACGGAGGCCCATCCTGCGGTGATGGGAGCAGAGATTTGGCCGATGAAGTCCTTGCCAACAGTCGAAGGCAGGGCGACACCGAACGAGAATCCAGACGTTTCGGTATATCTCTGGAAGGTAATGCCAGTTGCGGAGTCGACATACGAGGTTGTCTGCTGGGCTACGGCAGCCGCAGCCAACAGTCCCGTGGTGAGAAGGGACTTGAACATGGTGAATGATTGTGCGGATTGAGGGCCTAGAAGTGAATGTGTAAATTTGACGTTGGTATGCGGAAAATGCGTGTGGTGAGAAAGGAATGGAACACGAGAGTGTCAAAGAGAGTGTACACCCGTCGCAGATGGGCAAAAGAAAGTGGAACAGCAACCAGCGCAAATGGGAACAGAAATGAAGTTGTTGGAGAGAAGAGCCAAAAGTAGGTGGACAATGCCAGAGGAGGTGTGCCAACCATTATATGTCTTGTCTTTAGCGACGAGCCATGGCTACGCAAGACCCAAATCGGGACAGACGGCTTCGAGGTGCCATGGCTACCCCCAGTTTCAAGCCCCATTCGGAGGGGGGGTCAGCAAAATGCATCTGATGTTGTAGATCCGCACCAAGATTGTGGGAATTGTCGAGACCCGGCAGCGTGGATATAGTGATGTAGCTTGGTATCATGGCCTGACGATGGAAAGATGAGCCACCGCCATCAACGCCCTTCAGCGAATAGGGGAATGTTCAATAGTAAAACGAGTCATTCGGATAGAAGAGCGAGGTTCGTCGGGTGGCGTCCGCTCGGAGGGCCATCCCGGAGCACGATCCAGACCCGGCCGAGCTAGGCAAGCAGTGCCGGTGCTACGGCCCGGGGTTAAGTGCCTTCTACGACATGACAGGCTGGGCGATGCGATTGCAACACATGGCCCCCTGGGATGAACATGGGTCTGCGAGGCTGAACCTCGCCCAGCTAGGGGCGTCTAGACTGTTCCAGTCTGCTTTTTTTCACTCCTCTAACGTCTTCGATGGTCCACGCGCTTGAGTGGATGTCGCGGTTGGTTGCTGTACCCCAGATATATTAAAACGGCAGGGTTGTTTGGTTATGCGAAACAGAAAAAAAGCGAACGCCGTCCGAAGTTAATAAACGCTGCCAAACATCACTGGCCAACATCAGGGCCGCAAGTGGAGGTTCCGTCGTCCGAGGTCCAAAAATGACCCAAAAGCAGTCCTCGACTCCTCTTATCCAATTGGGCTGCGGTCGTTACAAAGAGATGATAGCAGAAAGGGGGATATGGAGGGGAAAACACTTACGTAGTACCTACCTCCGGCATCCCAAGTTTATTCCAAGATTGTTAAACCTGTCAACCGCCAGGCACGCTGGGGCCACCGCATTTGTGTCTCCTTAATTTCCGATGCTACGTGCTGCGTGCGTCGGCCCCTCACGGCCCCTCACTGTTGACCCCTCCAGGCGGATGTGCTGGGTGCCTCGAACGGATACATCCAGAAACTGGGATTTCCAGCTCCCTGGCCCAATGATCTAATCTGGTCCCTGGCAAATCTGAAGTCTTGGCTTCCGTGAAATGTCTTAGAAGTTGAAGTTCTATCTCTATCCGCACGAACTCGCGCAGAACGACCACGCGTTGCGTGCATTGCGATGGATCTGCACCTCCTACACCTCCTCGCCAGGCATGGCAAGATAACACTGACAGA